TTCACTTTGCAGAAGACACTGAAAAGGAATCCAAAGCACAGAAATCATCTCAATAAATGCAGGAAATGCCTTTGACCGAGTTACACTGCCTCTCATGATAAAGCTGTCAAGAAAGTAGGAATGGAAGAAACATACTTTAACACAACGGCTAAATAAGACAAATATGTTGCCTACATTATATATTCATCAATTGCCAGCACCCCCCTTCAACAAACCCCTTGGGATTTATACTCATTTTCCAAGTTGAATAAGATAAGTGAAAAAAATTTGTGTTGAAGCTAAACCTTTGCTGCAATGATTGGTGGAGGTTATCTGGGGCTGATGAATCAGTTGTGATTAATAAGAGACCAGAACTATTGAGGGGAACTCTTCTGGGAAGGACCCTCACGGTCAGTACACAAAGGCTGGGACAAAGGGTGCCAGTGCTATATTTCAAGCTGGCAGTCAAACTTGGTGACATGTAATAGTCTTCACATGGTATTGACTTTGGTTTACACTGTGGTATTAACACAAAACGTTTGAAGTTAAAAAAGAAAGATTATGCACTAACAGTAATTTATTTTTCAACAGTGCTGAGGTGGTAGTGTGGGCAGAAGCAGGCTAATTCTGTAATTTTCAACCAAGAGCAGCAAATAATTTGAAAAGATAAGCTTGATTCTTCAGCAGCTTTGTTCTGAGTCTTAGTACATTTAAACATTGTTTAAAATTGTTGAAAGAAGCTGAAACAGGAGGTCAAACAAATGTTACTAGTTTTGCCATTCTAATCCTTCTGTCACTCCAGAATCAGTCTTGGGCTCAGTGAGCTGCAGAGAAAGATGTATTCAGTCATTGGTGATCCTAACTCAGTGGGTCCTTGTTGACCCTGATGGGCCTTTTACAGAGTCCCAAGCTTTACAGTGCTGTTCCATTTGGGGCCTATCTCTTATCTCTGTTGCTGTAGAATTCTAAGACTGGATTATATGTGATATTAAACCTTGCATAAATTTACGCAGAGAATTGTGCTCTTGTCCGAAGAGGTAAAAAATAAAAAAAGTGTATTTGCTTGGAGGGTTCAGTGTGACTGCAAATCCATACTCATGTTGTGAGAATAGGATTCTTATTCATGTTCATGAACATAATGTTATCAATAAGCTACCTTTAAATAGTGACTTGAAAGTATTAGATAGTCATAGTGACTTGAAAATGTTATATATTCTGAAATAACCCAGGGGAAATAAGAATTTACATTAAAAAGGGTAGGATCTCTTCTACTAGATTATGCAATCCATTATGAATGATGTTTACTGTTAATATGATTGTGCTAGCTGTAAATGTTTTGGGCAGATCGGGATGGGACAGGTATCCTGGCATTCGGGAGTCACAGAATACTGAGTGTCACACAGCTCAGATGGAAAGGTATCCTGGAGCTCAGGAGCCAAGTACTACCACAGGCTGCAGTAAGTTTAGCTGTTTACAGCCTTGCCTCAGAGAAAGGCTTCCCCGGTGTATTGACTCAGCTCCAGCAGGACAGGGTCTTCCAGCTGGGGATGTTCGCCCAGTGTAGCAGTTTTGCTCAGCAGGAAGTTTCTTGGGTGAAGTTGCTACAGTTCAGCTCTGCTCCTGGAGAGTGGAGAGCAGAGAGCAGAGAGAGGAGTGTAACAACTCTGTTCTACCAAGAAAAGGTTTCCCGGGCAAAAGTGTTACAGCCCTGCTCGCTCTGCTCTACCCAGGGTCACCTTTGCTCCGTGCTGCTGCCACAAAAGATCTTCACCCAAAGCTCATCAAAGGGGCTTATTGGAAGGAAGCAGCTGGATGGGCCAAGCTGAACATACACAGGGTTTATATAGGGATTCTTGGGGGCAGGGTAAGTCTGATTTCAGTGCTGAGCTCAGATTGGCTAGAGCTCTGCTCCAGGATTGGTTAGTTTTCTGCATAGGATTAGGGTCAGATTTGGCTCTGGTTTCAGGGCCAAAGTGTGTTTTTTTCTCTGGTCCTTTTTAGCCTTTGGCTCCAATTTTATGGCCAGGGTGCATTTCTTTCACTGACTCTGATTCCAGGGACAAAGTGTGTTCCTTTGGCACTGGTTTCAGGGTCAGGGTACATTTCTTTGGTTCTGGTTGCAGGGCTAAAGTGTGTTTCTTTGACTGGTCCCTTTTCCCTACACTAGCAAAGTGCTAAACTGGAGTTTTTGATGAGTAACTGCATAGCTCGGTTGAATGGGCACCTTCGGATTTACTAGCTATGACATTAAAAAAAATCTGTATTTGGGGCCTGTGAGATGGTTCAATGGTAAAGGCAACTGCTACAGCCTTTCTGATCTGAGTTTGCTGAGTTGGATCACTGGACTCACAAGGTGGAAGGAGAGAACCAGCCTCTACAATTTGTGTTTTGACCTGCACATGCTGCAGTATGCATGCATCCACACAATGTACACACAATAAACATGAAAGGTTTCATGTTTACTTTTAAAAAGTCTATATTTTACATACAAATAGAAGTAATTTGGGGGAGATCCTTATTTTAGTTTTCTGTGTGATTTAATGTGTTTGGCCTGCGGTTACTCCTGTTATCTTGAAAAAAAATCAATTTGTGCTTTAGAAAATAAAGGAAATATTTTTATAAGCTCTGGAATTCTGGTCCTATCTCTGAAATGTGATAGATTCTCAGTATTGGTTGAGTAAGAGAATTATATTATATAAGATCCCATATTTAATTAGTAAAAGAGAGACAGTTTTCAAAACATTTTATTTAGTTAGCTGGGGAAAAAGAAGGGAGGGGAAAAAGAGAGGGAGAGAAAGGTGGGGGAGAGAAATGTATTTTTGGTAAGCGTTTTCATTTTTGCCATTAGGATTTTTAATTTTATTATCTCTTATTTTTGAGATTTTAATATAATTACATTATATTCCCTTTCCTTTTTCTCCCTCCAAGCTCTCCCTTTTACTCTTTGTTGCTTTTTGTTTAATTCATGTCATTTTTTTCATTGATTGTTACATACTGTTATAATGTAAATATAATGATACTAGTATGTATGCATGTATGCTTTCAGGGCTGACCATTTGATACTGGTGAACACTTTCAAACTGGGCCATTTTCAAAACAAGAAGCTATTTTTGTGTAACTTACCATATAACCAGTAAGTTTACCCAATTTCTCATACTACATATGTTTTCTAGTCAGGTAGTCAGGCACATAACTTGCATGTGGTGTGTTGTGTACATGTAATACGGGTAGGGGAAAAGTTACTGTTAGGTATTGTCAGTTGTTTTCCATTTTATCTTTTGAGACAGGGTCTCTAACTGAACCTAAGACTCACCAACTGTACAGCTCCAGGGATCTACCTGCCACTGCCTCCCCAGTGTTAAGATTGTAGACCCAGACCACTCTTGTGTGTGCTGGGGAGGGGCAGGATTTGGGTCCTCAGGCTTGCAATGCATGGCAAGTGCTCTATGGACTGGGCCGTTGTTTATCCCAGTGTCGAGAACAAGACCACTACCACAATTTGAGGCAAATCGGAAGCAAGCTTGAATCTTTATCAGGGTGTACCTAAGAGCTGGCCAGCGACTGCCTCCTAAGTCAGCTGGGTTAGAGAGAGCAACTTCGAATCCATTTCTTGGATCCCTTTTAGGGAGTAAAATCATAAGTAGTTTTATAGGAGACATGCAGAAAACACACAAAATGCAGAAAAAAAATCCTACAATGTGATTAGAAGGGAGGCTTTAGGGAGGTTCAGGGAACCTCAAGGAGGGTCAGGGTATTCTCAAACACAAGTCAAGGTCATGGATTGGGGAAAGGTCAGGTTCCAGGAAAACAGAGAGCAACTCAGCTCTTTCACTAAGAAGAAACTTATTTTTAACAATACAGCATGGCTCCTGCCTTCAAAATGTACTCAGGCAGGTTGCTCACCATCCCCCCAGCCTCACTATCAACATTTAATGGCTCAAAGAAATAAAGATAACCTCTAAAGAAATGCTTTGTATATTTGACTTGACATTGTATTATTATATTAAATTGCACATGCCCAAGTTTTTGATAGTGAACAATGGCAATTTATAGGACACAAATACATATATTTAGTATTAAACCCTACCTTTTAGAATAGTAACAACAGGGTTTCCAGTCTCCCAGTTCTTATCATCTCCTGCCTGTCCCGGGTGTGGTAAGCTTAGTATTCTAAAATATCGTAATTCTGCAGTTGGCAACTCGTGGTTTACTGAAAGGTATTATAAACTGGTAGTTTTGCTTTGCCAGTTATTCCAAAGGGCTAGTATGAGTAATTACCCATTTTGTAAAAAGAAATAACTAGGTTATTAATGTCCCTTTTTCAGGTCTGCCTTAATGTTTGTAACTACAGAGAACTACTTAAGACACAGGTCTCCTGGCCCTAATCCCAAAGAACCCAGCTTTCTGAGAAACTGCCATATTGTACTTCTTGTGTAGGCGTGGTGAATTCGTGAACTGGCTATAGAACACTTGAATAACAAGGCCTTTCTTTATGACTGTCAGTAAGTAAAACTCAATTTAGGCATGAGATAAATTTTCAAAACCACTTCCTTGGCAAATTTACTACGATAGCACTTTTTGTTGTTAGTTTTTGGAGACAGGGTTTCTCTTTGTAACAGCTCTGGCTGTCCTGGAACTAGCTCTTGTAGACCAGACTGGTCTCGAATTCACAGAGATCCATCTGCCTCTGCCTCCCTAGTGCTGGGATTAAAGGTGTGCGCCACCACCCACGGGGCTATGATAGCACTTCTTAAGTGAGACTTTGCTGACTTAGTTGCTGTGGCCTTCAATTTCTGGATAACTAACTTGGAGGAATTTATTCACTATCCCTTCTTTGGAACTGTGTACAGCCTGTAGCCTGCCAGGAGGGCAAGGGTCGCCCAGCTGCTGCAGCTTCACCTTTGTTATCTCGGCCAGCCCGTCCAGCTACACATACTCTGCAGAGGTCTTGATAGGCAACTTGGTGAGCCCCTATCTAGGAGCTCAAGCCTGGGCTCCTGCACTTGGCCAACTGTACCCACTCACCTCCCCGCCGTTTCCAAGCGACCCCCCCAGCGCCCCTGAAAGGGCAGCCTCTGGCAGCGGTGGGCAGGTTCAGACCCCCTCCGGCGACCTCGCGAAGAGCCTGTGCCCAAACCGCCCTCTAGCTGGACCGAGGCGGCACAGCCAAGAGTCCAGCCCTAGGACCGACAGGGCCCGGTCTCCATCAGCAACGGCCTTCCGTGGCAGCTGGGCCACCCTGTCCTCCAGCCGCGAAGATGTCGTCGGCCTCCAACGTCAGTTTACTGCGCGAGACTTGCCGGCAGGTCGTGGCCGGAGGGTCTGCAGGTAAGGCGGCAGGGTCCCCGCGCTCTGGTGGCTCCCCCACCGCACCCCTGTACAACGTCCCTAAGACTGGCCTTCCGACGAAGTTTTGTGTGCGTCCCCTAAACCTTCCACTCAGGTAGCCAAGAACAGAGGAGACGAGCAGCCGCTAGTGGCTGCCCAGTCCTCTTTGCGGGGGGCGCAGTCCCCACGAGGCGATCTGCTCTCGGGTTCCTTCTTTTCTCTGTCGCCAGTCCCTGAAACTTAATGGGACTCTGAGGAAGCTTAGCACTCCCCCTCCTTTTTTTTTCCTTCCCGTTGTCAGCTGTTTTACTTGAAACGGGTCCAGTTGAGTCTAAAGTTTCTTAGCAATTTCCTTCCCTGCTCCAAGCTAGAGAGGATCTTAACATAAATCTTGCCGCTCGTCACAGGGATTCTTACCTTCTACTGTGCTTCTTGGGGATCTATGCTTGCCATGAATAGGTATACGAAAATTAAACCCACACGCTAACATAGATAAACACCTTTGACTCACATTAATTTGTGGAGTGTTATGAGAGGGTTGGGGGGAGGAGAGGCTTTACAAAAAGATCTGTTAAAACCTGTCTTGGGAATAATTACACAGCTGGAGGAATTTGTTCATCATGAAGTTATGTGCACACATTTTGAAGATGTTTTAAAATAAGTTGGTTGAAAATTTGGTCTCATGTGCCATGATGCATTTTAATTATAATATATAATTTAATTACCGTAGTTAATGTAGGCCATAACAATTTTATAAGTGTAGTTATTCTTTTTTTTAAGATTGATTTATTTATTATGTATACAGTGTTCTGCCTGTATGTTTGCCTGCAGGCCAGAAGAGGGCACCAGATCTCATTACAGGTGGTTGTGAGCCACCAGGTCGTTGCTAGGAATTGAACTCAGGACCTCTGGAAGAGCAGTCAGTGCTCTTCTGAGCCATTTCTCCAGTCCCAAGTGTAGTTATTCTTTTAATAAATTTTATTGTGGTATGAATGGTAAATAATATTAGGATTGACTAGAAGATATCCAATACATACTTTGACTAGTAACATTTATTTTCAAGCGAATTTGAACTTTTTAATAATGGGTTTCTTCAAATTATGACTAGTTATATGTCATGAAGAGGCTGCATCTCAGGGGTACCATAAGCATCTAGATAGGTCACTCAGAATCTGCATACTTTCTTAAGCTGCTATAATCATGAAAATGGAGCATTTGTTTCATATGTATATATGTATATTATATGCTTGATTCCAACTCTGTGGTCCTGAGCTAAGAACACTGAGCTAGACCAGAAGGAGAGTGAAGTTGGCTAGTACCCTAATCTATGCCCAGTGACTTGCAGTCACCGCTGTTGGCTTGTGTAATCACAGTATGTATCAAGCACAGTTAAACTCAATTTTAAAAAGTAGATCAGACTCTAACCCTATTTATGCTGAATCAGTTTGGATAAGCATTTGGCAGAGATGTATTGATGCTGTCATATATCTCTATTGATGTAAATGGGAATCAATCTGTTAATATGAATACATGTCATTTATATGGTAAATTTAAAATAAGTTGGTTAATTCATATAGTTTATATTGTGGCATTCTTGATAAGTAAGAAGGATAACTAATACTTTTATCATTCTGAAAGTCATATTTTCTTCTACTTGACCTTTAAAATCATGTTAAATGCTATTTATTTATTGAAACTGTAATGATGCAGGCTGATCCTATTACATGTACTTGAGCAAGGGCCACAAATAAAAAAGCATCTACAAGAAAGGCAGAAGTTTTATAAAAAATAAGGTGTATTTGAATCTCTGATACTGACATCTGTCTCTTTCTGATTATTATAATGATCTTCTGGTTACAAAATATATTCTAAAAGAATGCTCTCTTAAGAAAAAAAGTAAAGAAACTGGAGAAATTTATTGGGAAGATACAAGTGTCTGATGGCATTCAAGTTCTAGTGTCATTGCTTGGAGAAACTGGAACACTTAGGAGAATGCAGGATGTGACATTTCTTCATCTCATCTATACCAGCTGGTCCAGAATCCTCAAGATAGGAGGACAGTGTCTAATACTAGTACCACCGTATCCCGACTGAGTGTTACTATGGTTTGCTATGCTTCCCAACGTAGCTATTTGTAAAAAGTAGGTAAGCCCAAATGGATTCAAACAGTTTGCTAGTCAAACAGACAACAAAGGCAAATCATTATGGTGTTAGTCCCCGATGTAGTTAGTGTTCCAGATAAGACTCAATAAAGGGGGTCACGTGATAGACTATGTGTGTCGGACCTCGGCTGTTGGTGGTTTCCTTCTAAACAACAGTCAAAATATTTTATAGACTTTTGCTACAATTGAAATAGGAGCAAGATGGAAAGTCTTGTGCTTAACTAAAACTGAGATGATGGATAAGAAGCTGTGCCGAGCATCCTTCTACCAGAGAGGGAGAAAACCACCTTTCAGCAGCTCACCAGGTGGGAAGCATATCTCCTCCACTCCCCTTAAGCATGTGTGTATCTTGCCTTCAAGCACATCTGGGCACCATGTGTGTGTCTAGTCCCCAAGGAAGCCTCAAGGGGTGATAGATCTTCTGGAACTTGAGTTACAGGTGGTTGTGAGCCACCAAGTGGGAATGGAATTCTGGTCCTCTGGAAGATCTTCACCACTGAATTATTTCTCTAGCCCTTATCTTCCTTTTGACAAGGAGAAATCTCAGCATTCTGCCAAGCAGACTGGTGTGCCATGCCACCTGCTTTGTGTGGAGATGAACAAGGCTGTGGAGTTGTTAGGTGCCAACCTAACACATACTTCCGGGAGGCCTGGAGAAATTTTGTTTCTCACAGTTAACTGGTGTTTTGAGTTTTTCATTCCACGCGTCCGACTTCTGTGTTCAACATCTTCCAAGTATTCACGCTCTTGAATGCTTTTCCTGGAGCAGGGGTGGGGGACTATTTTTAGTTCAAAACAGGGATAGATTCAGAATTACCCACTGTTGATAGGAACCCACTTCTATCAATTAACTGTCACCTATCCCCATTGGATGGTGGTACGTGTGGCTTGGGGAATTTCAGAGGAAAGTTAGAAAAGCTAGATACAGCATGAAAAGGATGATATGTATATTTTATAATATATCTCTCTTTTATTACTTAATGACTTGTAATATTTCTATTTTAAAGACTAAACGTATTGATGGGTAGCAGTTTCTTAGCATGCATCTAAAGGCTAGTTTTGGGCTTATAGTTATAGCTAGATCTTGTAGTATTTATCAAGATGTTGTCACCAGTAGTAACTTTGTCTTATGTGGTAAAAGTTGTGCTCAAGCAAGTCAATATGCACTGGAGTTTTAAAAAGTTATATATTTCTTTGTGTGTGTATGTATGTGTGTGCATATGTGCACAAATGTGTGTGTGCCTACAGAAGCCAAAAGATGTTTGATTCTCCTGATCTGGGGTTACAGGTAACTTTAAGCTGCCCTACGTGGTCACTTAGACCTGAACTGTGGTTCCAGCCCGTTTGTATGGAATAAGTTTGTATGGAATAATCTGTGCTCTCAGGCTTTCTGTCCTACACACATGATCAGTCTCTTTAACCTGTCATAGACTTTTCTATCTAAACCTCAGAACCTCTGGGCTGCCAGAGCCTGCCAGATGTTCTCATACAGGGAACTTCTAAATTGTGTCCACCCAGAATTCTGTGTTGTGGTACCCACCATACTGCCGTCCTTCTACATCGTAGGATCTTATTTGTAGCTCTCCAAACCTAACTCTTTCTTAGAAGACCTCTAGACTTGCTTCCCTCCATGCACCACAATCCTAGTCCCCCTGCCAGAGGACACTGATACACTTTTTTGACCTTCCAGCTAGTGATTTTCTCCTCTAGTGGGCAGCCTACCCATGGTGCCCTGGAGGCATGCTCGGCCTTCACATCTTTATCAATTAGTTCATTTTACTTTGTGACTTTCCTACCATTGTGTTGCTTTCATTCAAACTGTTCTTTAAATCTGTTTTCAACTTCAAATAATAGCAGAGTGTTTTGGTGTGTGAGTCCTAGAAGTCAGTGATGACAACTCAAGGCCCAACATTGCAGAATGGATAAAGAGAGAGGAGGGTATGAAATTATCCTTGTTACTCAAAGTGTTGCCTGTGGACAAACAACAAGAAATATGATGTCAGCTTGGTGTGGTGACATTCACCTTTAATCCCAACACTTGGGAGCAGAGGCCACTCTCCACTGAGTTACAGGCTAGCGTGGTCTATACAGTGAGACTCAATCTAAAAAGCAAATAAAAAATATAGTGGTATCTGGAAGTTAGTTTAAATTGTTAGACTTCAGGCTTTTCCCAAGTATGACTACACCAGACTCTACATTTAGATAGGCTTTAGGCTATTGGCTTTTAAAGCACCATGTCAGATCTTTGAACAGAAGTACTCCATAGAGTGGGAGGAAGAAAATGTTTTTGGCTTTCACTGTAGATGAGAGTGGGCAGGGAGGCGGGAAGAGAATGAGTTCTGTAGCCCTTGTGTGACCTCGTGCTGGCTTTCACACATACTTTCCATCTTTCTTATACACACCTCATTTTATTTCTGTTAAACAAGCTGCCCGTACCTTTATTTCCAATGCCTGGCATGTGTACCTGTCATTTTCTCTGTTGAAAGACCAAGCATTTCCTAAAGCCTGGACTGAGAACTTTTTCCCATAAATATTTTGCAAGTGTTTTCCTCTCTAAGTTCTTCCACCTTCAGCATTCTCATTAACACGGAATAATGCAAATATCAAACTAGCTAGCATCCACTGAATGCTAAATGCCAGTCAGTTCTAGGCTACTGCCTTGTCTTAGTTTAGGTTACTATTACCATGGTGAAACACCATGACCACAAGCAAGTTGGGGAGAAAAGATTTTATTTAGCTTACACTTCTACATCACTGAAGGAAGTCAGGACAGGAACTCAAACAGGGCGGGAACCTGGAGGCAAGAGCTAGCTGGTGCAGAGGCCATGGAAGAATGCT